GAGACCGAGCTCCGCGGCGAGGCGTCCGGCTGTGGCAGGAAGCCGTCCGCGGGGTGGTTCTTGAGGGGTCGGAGGAGCGTTGGCGGGCCCCCATCGCGCACACCCCGGCGGACGGTTCCCGCTCTCCGGATAGCCTCGCGACTGGGCCCCCACCCCGAAGACCCCGCCGCGAACGGTTTCCCCACCCGGAGACCCCGCGGCCAGGTCCCCGCCCCGAGGACCCCCGCGAGCGGCTCCGCACCCGGAGCCCCCTCCGACCGGCCCCACCCCGGAGACGCCCGCGAACGGTTCCCCACCCCCGAGACCCTGGCCGGCTGTCGGGGTCCTTTCTGGCCGGCGGCGGAGTATCAGAGGTACTAGGGGACTTAGTCATTCAAGGTGGAGTATCAGAGGTACTAGTGGAGTATCAGAGGTACTAGGGGACTTGGTCATTCAAGGTGGAGTATCAGAGGTACTAAGGGACTTGGTCATTCAAGGTGGAGTATCAGAGGTACTAGGGGACTTAGTCATGCAAGGTGGAGTATCAGAGGTACTAGGGGACTTAGTCATGCAAGGTGGAGTATCAGAGGTACTAGGGGACTTAGTCATGCAAGGTGGAGTATCAGAGGTACTAGGGGACTTGGTCATGCAAGGTGGAGTATCAGAGGTACTAGGGGACTTAGTCATTCAAGGTGGAGTATCAGAGGTACTAGGGGACTTAGTCATTCAAGGTGGAGTATCAGAGGTACTAGGGATTTTAGTCAATTCAAGGTGGAGTATCAGAGGTACTAGGAGACTTGGTCATTCAAGGTGGAGTATCAGAGATACTAGGGGACTTAGTCATTCAAGGTGGAGTATCAGAGGTACTAGGGGACTTAGTCATTCAAGGTGGAGTATCAGAGGTACTAGGGATTTTAGTCAATTCAAGGTGGAGTATCAGAGGTACTAAGGGACTTGGTCATTCAAGGTGGAGTATCAGAGGTACTAGGGGACTTGGTCATTCAAGGTGGAGTATCAGAGGTACTAGGGGACTTAGTCATTCAAGGTGGAGTATCAGAGGTACTAGGGGACTTAGTCATTCAAGGTGGAGTATCAGAGGTACTAGGGGACTTAGTCATGCAAGGTGGAGTATCAGAGGTACTAGGGGACTTAGTCATTCAAGGTGGAGTATCAGAGGTACTAGGGGACTTGGTCATTCAAGGTGGAGTATCAGAGGTACTAGGGGACTTGGTCATTCAAGGTGGAGTATCAGAGGTACTAAGGGACTTAGTCATTCAAGGTGGAGTATCAGAGGTACTAGGGGACTTAGTCATTCAAGGTGGAGTATCAGAGGTACTAGGGATTTTAGTCAATTCAAGGTGGAGTATCAGAGGTACTAGGAGACTTGGTCATTCAAGGTGGAGTATCAGAGATACTAGGGGATTTTAGTCAATTCAAGGTGGAGTATCAGAGGTACTAGGGGATTTTAGTCAATTCAAGGTGGAGTATCAGAGGTACTAGGGGACTTTTAATCATTCAAAGCTGGGAGTGTAGCCTGAGTGGATCAGGGCGTGCAGAAACCTCTGGTCAGACCCCTCACCTAGCGAAGAAGCAAAAAGGAATCTGCGAAAAAGCACACATATCCATGCACCTGGGAGGAGATTTCCCCTGTAGGGGATACTGCTGTGAGTGGACCTCTTTTTTTTTTTTTTTTTTAATTTGCCAGGCCTGGGGCTTTGAATTCAGGGCCTGGGCGCTGTCCCTGAGCTTCTTTTGCTCAAGGCTAGCACTCAACCACTTGAGCCACAGCACCACTGTTGATGTGGTATTGAGGAATCGACCCAGAACTTCACTCAACCACTAAGCCACATTCCCAGTCCTGGCCCCTTTATTCTGGTGATGATTAAAGAAAAACATGCAACAAAACCAATTTCTCGCGAGTGCAGTTTGGAGGATCAGCTTCAACTGTGGGGCTAATAAGCAGAGGAAGCAACTAATTGCCATTCTGCTTTCCCATGCCACCATCTTAAATCTGCACAGTCAGGGTAACTCTTCTGAAAATGTGAGTTCTGGACTTGTATACCATTAATATTGTTTTTGTTTTTTTTGGGGTCCGGTTGTGGGGCCTGAACTCTGGGCCTGGGCGCTGTTCCTCAGCTCTTCAGCTCAAGGCTAGCACTCTACCACTTGAGCCACAGCGCCAATTCTGGCTTTTTTCTTTTTGCTTATGTGGTGCTGAGGAATTGAACCCAGGGCCTCCTGCATGCAAGGCAAGTGCTCTACCATTGAGCCACCTTCCCAGCCCTACGCCATTAATTTTTACCAAAAAAAAAAAATCATCTCCTTAACAATGCCTTGCCTTCCAACAGGACTGCTTCCTGTTCTCAAATTTCCCACTAAAAGCATCCCTGCGATGGTTATCTCCACAGATGTGCATTCAATATTTGTCCTATCATTTGCCCTGAGAAATTCCTGTTAAGGAATTTGACACCAATTTATGTATACTTATTCTAGACTGGAACTCAGTTCTGTTTGTTGTACCAGTACTGGAGCTTGAACTCAGCCTCAAACTTAGGCATGTTTTTTTTCCACTCAGGCCTGGCACTCTACCATTTGAGTACATCTCCACTTCAGGTTTTTTTGTTGGTAATTTGGAGGTAACAGTCTTACGGACTTTTCGACCCAGGCTGGCTACAAACTGTGATCCTCAGATCTGAGCCTTCTGAGTAGCTAGGATTACAGGCATGAGGCTCCAGGTTCTTAAAACTAGTTTCATTAGGATTTTGTCATACCTGTGGCTGCTTAGTGATCTGTGACATTCGTATTTGCAGAAGAAATGGAGATGATTTATATAACAACCTACTCAAAACACAAAAGAAGCATCTAAATGAAGCACCAAGTATATACACTGAATTCAGTTCTTATGAGCTGTGCCTCTCATCCTAGCTTGCTTATACCTTACTCATTTTTAGAACTGTTGGTGGGATCCAACCTCATTAATCTACTTAATTCTCAGTATTATCTCCATGTATCTGCAGACTATGTCAACACAAAATTGAGTTCTGTCACAACAGAAGAGCATGAGCAGTGTATTATTGATAAGATGTATGTGGTCCATGGACTGCTGCAATCAAGATTCATCTTGAATTTTTCTGTTCTTGTTTTATCCACCTTGTACCTTGTCTTTAGTACCACCATATGTCCTTATTACTGGAATTTCAGGTGTATGTCTCCATGCCCAATTTAAACTTTTGCCCAAATTGGCTTCCAGTGGTGATTCTCCCATTGGATGAATTGTTAAAGAGATTATCTTTTCTTGTGTTGTTGGTTGTGGGGCTTGAACCCAGGGCCCAGGCATTGCCCCTGAGCTCTTTCGCTCAAGGGTAGCACTCTACCACTTTGAGCCAAAGCACCACTTCCTGTTTTTCTGGAGGTTAATCCGTGCCTGAATTGGCTAGGAACAGCAGTCCTCAGATCTCAGCCTCCAGAGTAGCTAGGATTACAAGCATCCGCCACCAATGCCTGGCTAAGAGAGATGGGATTTGAACAATATTAAAAGAGTAATGGTAGGGCTGGGAATGTGGCTTAGTGGTAGAATGCTTGCCTAGCATGCATAAAGCCCTGGGTTCCGTTCCTCACTACCACATAAACAGAAGAGGCCCAAAGTAGTGCTGTGGCTCAAGTCATGGAGTGCTAGCCTTGAGCAGAAGAAGTTCACGGACAGTGCCCAGGCCCTGAGTTCAAACCTCAGGACTGGCAAAAAAACAAAGGAGTAATGGTTGAAGAAATGATAATATGTACTATTGTAATCAATTTAGGGAAGACCAAGGTTAGGTTGATAATTCCAGTACAAAATACTGTGTAAGAAAGAATTCCAGCTACTCATTAGGATCTAACCCAGTTCCATAAAATAAAGGGCTAAAGCACCAGTCAAGTGATAAAGTGCCTTCCTCCACCATTTGTAAGGACTTGGGTTTAATCCATAGGGCTATCACAGATAAAAACAAACAACAAGAGTTGGGGACAACTCAATTGGTTGAGGGCTAGTCCAGCATCCGTATGGCTTTGGTCTTAGTCCTTATCATTTAAATGAATGAATGGATGTGGGAGTGTATTTAACAGGTTTTTAGAGAATAAGTTGCTGAAATTAGTTTAAGATAATTGCCAGTAGGCATTGAAGAGTCTGGCAAGTAACACCTGTATTTCATTAGAACACTTTTACTCACTTTGTACTAGTACTTAAACTTTGCTAATGTAACAGCAACGTTCTCCTAGTGTTTATATAATGCTGCTGTTATTAGTCCACGGAATAATGTGTGTTCCTGGGATTAACCTTTACATGGCACAAATGGGTCTCTAAAAAGGTCTTATTTTGTTGAGCATCCATTGCCTGTTACAGCACTTGTCTCTGTAATTCTGACCACTGAGATCTGGAGGAGCTGTTTGAAGCCAGCTCGGCCGAAAAATCTGTGTGACTCCACCTCTAAAAATAACTAGCAAAAAGTCAGGCTGGAAGAATGCTTCAAGTAGTAGAGCACCAGCTGTACACGCAAGTGGAACAAGCAGGAGGCCCTGAATTAAGAGCCTGAAAAGAGAAAAATGGGCTTTTATTTCAACATTTGAACAAGACCAACCAATCAAAACCAGAGTGGAAAGGATTAATGACAATGATGAAATGGAACACTGTTAATACCAAGCTAACAAGGCAGAGTAAGTGCTTTGAAAATTTCACTAAACTATCAAAAAAGAAAAGCAGCACTGTTGGTTGTAAATGTAGAGACTACTATGAAAAATTTATGCTGATAAATCTGAAATTGAAGAATAACTAAAATTAACAGAGTAAGGTAGATAAAATTCAAGCTGGGTGCCAGTGGCTCACCCCTGTAATCCTAGCTACTTAGGAGGCTACGATCTTAGGATGACAATTCAGAGCCAGCCCGGGTAGGAAAGTCCGTGAGACTCTTAACCACCCAGAAAAAAAAAACAAACCAGAAGTGGCGCTGTGGCTCAACTGGTAGAGCACTTGCCTTGAGCTGAAGAGCTGAGGGACAGTACCTAGACCCAGAGTTCAAGCCCCATGACTGAAAAAAAAAAAAAAGAAAAAAAGTTCATCCAGGTATAGGTGACTCACACCTGTTGTAATCCTAGCTACTTAGGAGGCTGAGATCTGAGGAGTATAGTTTGAAGCCAGCCAGGGCAGGAAAGTCCATAGGACTCTTAACTTCCAATTAACTAGCAAAAAGCTGGAAGTGGATGTATGGCCCAAGTGGTGGGGCTCTAGCCTTGAGCACAAAAGGTCAAGCACAGCACCCATGTGCTAACTTCAAGCCCCAGAACTGGCATAAAGTGAGGTTTGAGCAGAAAAAACAAGAGAGAGTGAGTTCAAGGCCAGGTA